GTAATATTCAAATATTTGTTCGGTACCAACTCTGCACTTAATGAGCACAGTGAGGGTAGATGGAAACATTTATTAAGCACCACTGGGCAGTTATACCCTTTCAGATAAGACAACTTTATTTGAACCCAGGATGGGAAAGACCTTTGGACTCCAGACCTAAGTTCAAATCCTGTCTTTGTGTGACCGTGGGCAGGTCTCCTGGCTTTTCTGTGCCTCATGTAGATTTAAGGGTCTGGGTGAGTTGCTCTCTGAAGCACTCTTTCCTCCTCAATCTCTGTGGCTGCGGCGGTGGCTGCTGGGTCTGAAGGTCAGGAAAGGGACGTGGAGCACGTGCTTTGTGAGTTGTCCCTTGTGAGTCCAGTGAACAGTGTGAGCATAGGAAGGAGATGGTAAACTGACAGCCTCTCCCAGGTTCATCCTGACATTCTAATTGCACTTCAACAGCAAATCCATCCCTTTCCTTCCACTGCTCAGACCCTAGCACCGCACCCTGGGGTCGGGCTCCTGGACGGGAGTTTGGACTGGCCGGTTGTTTCTGCCCAGCGATGCCTGTTTTACTTCATACAGTAACAAGGCCATCCTTTTGTTTCCTGGCACCATTCTGCCAGAAGAACAAGAGAATTCACTCTTTTTATTTAAGTTTTGCTTTCCTTGTCCAATGTAGCTCTCACATTCAGGGAATTGTATCCCGTGACTGTCTCTGTCACATCCACGTGCGTGCGCGCGTGCACACACACACACACACACACACACACACACACACACACACTTTCTTACATTCACACTCGAACACAAAACCATATTCATTTCTTTATTACAAAACAGGAGGGGGAGGGGAGGTATATACATATAAAAATTCAGAATAAACGACACCCTCGTGTTCTCCTCTGATGGATCTCCCGTGTGTCATTTCCACCTCGAGGAAGCTGGGACTTTGTCACGGGCTGCAACAGCTTCTGTGCCATTTGGATCCCAGCCCTGCTCTTGCTGTTTCAGGGTTGGGAGGTGAGGGCTGCCCTTGTTCACTGGCGGGGCTGTTAATGAATCGGAAGTGTTTTTGAAAGCGCTGTCCTCTAGCCAACGCTCTGCTCAGAAACCCTCAGCGGTTCCCTCTTACCCCACTGCCCCACTTTATTTGGGAGGCCTGTCTCGGCTTGCCTGCAGCGCACCTCTGCAGACTGGTGGTGGCATGTTTTTCACCCAAAGCCTCTGCTTGGCCGTCCCTGTCCTGCCTTCGTGTCCTTGCACTTCCCTCGAGATATACTGTGTCCCTCCAGTTGAACCTAAGCTTCTAAAATAGAAGGGATCTTTTTCATTGTCTTTTGTTCTCCAGTACTCATCACAACAATTAGTAGATATTTAATAAATATTTGTGAATTGGATTTGGAGGATAGAATATTTGTAAGGAATAGTATGATGTAACTCTGGCCTGATTGAATTCAGGGGCCTTAAGACAGGAAACCAGTGAAGGAGTATGAGCATATGAGTGACATGACCAAGCTCTGCATGAAGAAGGTTCAAGTGGCAGTGATATGAGGGGTCAGCTGGAGGGAGACCATTGTTGAGTAAGGAAGCTATTGCAGACATGCCAAAGGATGGTAGTAATGGGCTGTCTGAGGACAGGGTTACAGGGAGAGAAGAGGTGACCTGAACTAGAATCCCCAGGGCCTGTGGGTTGTGGCTGTGTATGAGATGGCAGGGAGAGAGAAGAGCAGAGATAACACCAAGACTTCCTGTGTGGGGAATAGCTCAGTAAGTGATGTTCCCAGTGAGAGAGGTAGTGATATCAGGAAGAGAAACAAACTCAGGAGGAAGATTAGGTGAGGAGCCTGTTGAGTTTGGGGTGCTGGCAAGACAGCCCCGTGGAGATGCAGATAGTGAAGAGTTAAGTCAGGTCTCGACTGGCATTCACACAGGTGACAGTCAAACCCATGGAGTGAATGAAATTGTGAGAAAATGTTGAGAGAGGAATGACAGGAACTGAAGGTAGAACGTTGGGGAACAGCTATTTTAAAGGGTTGGGGGAATGGAGAGGAGCCATGGAGGAAATAAAAGTTAGGGTTAGCAGGAGAATGAGATTTTTATGTTTTAGAAATCAAGGGAATAGAGAATATCCAGAGGAAAGAGTGGTAAGGATTGTAAAATGCTGTTTAGAAGGAGGATGAGGCTATAAGCAAAGGTATCGGAGCTGGAGCCGTGGGAACAAGGGACTTCTTTGAAGATGGCCAAGTGAATTGTCGTTCCTGAACCCAGCCACCCCTCATCATTTCAGAGCAGCAAGAAACAGTTCCAAATGATGTCAAAGAACAACATGCAGAGAGGATTCTGGGAAGGTGGCGGAGTAGGTCAGACAATTTAAAGCTCGCAAGATTTTCCTCCACAAGAGATAAAATAGTGCCTCTGGGTGAGCACAGAGCTGTGAAAACAAAAGAGAGTAGGGGCAAGAGAGGAGTACTAGTGGGACAATTGGAGCAGATCTGAAGAAAAATCCAGCGTGAGATTTCCTCCCTGTGAAGAGAGCACCTCCAGGCTAGGGTCTGCTGTAACAGCTAGAGGCAAGCCCTGGGGTTAGCTGGTTAGGGAGGCTGCCTCAGCCCCAGCCACAGGAACTTTTAGCCCCAGGACAGTGAGGGGAGCTGGACATCTGATCTGGGAATCTCTGCCGATAAGGAACGCCAGACCCAGCTGTGCCGCGGAGATGCAATGGGGGTGAGAAGGAACCAGCACACGCCCAGTGAGTATAGAAGCAGTGGAGTGGGGTCGCCTCTGCTGTGGGCACTTACAGGAGGCTGGAGCTCTTGGTTTGAGTTCAAGATCAGAAAGGTGAACTGAAGATTAGAGACACCATCCCTCATACCCCAGGACTAGAGGTGATTATAAAAATTAAATTATTACCAAAAAAAAAAAAAAGAAAGAAAGAAAGAAAGAAATGCGCAGGCAAAGGAGAAAGAATCTGACCTGAGAGAGCTATTATGGGAATAGAGAAGATCAGGGTTCGTCTTCAGAGGAGGATACTGAAGCAAAGAAACCCTCTTCTACCCCAGAGAGTAATGTCAAATGGTCATCTGCCCGAAAAAGAATTCACTGAAGAATTTCAAAAAGGCTTTATAAAACAAATAATACTAGGGAAGAAATAAAAAGAAAAATAAGAATAATACAAGAAAAACAAGATTATGAAAAGAAAGTCAACCAATTAGAAAAAGAGATCCAGAATCTTAAGGAAGAAAATTACTCCTTTAAAATCAGAATTGGGCAGGGTGAAGCCAGCAAAGTTATAAGACATGAAGAAATAAAAAAATAAAGAGAATGAAAAAATAGAAGAGAATGTGAAACATCTCATAAGAAAAACGACCAGGGCAGCTAGGTGGCACAAGGGATAGAGCACCGGCCCTCAAGTCAGGAGGACCTCAGTTCAAATCTGGCCTCAGACTTGACACTTACTAGCTGTGTGACCCTGGGCAAGTCACTTAACCCCAATTGCCTAAAAAAAGAAAAAAAAAGAAAAAACGATGGATCTAGAGAACAGATCAGAAAGAGAAAACATAAGGATAATTGGACCACCTGAAAGTTCTGATCAAAAAAAAGAATCTTGATACAGTAATGCAAGAAATAATTAAAGAAAATTGTCCTGAAGCATTAGAACAACAGGGGAAAGTAGAAATAGAAAAAATCCACTGACCACCAGCTGAAAGAGATTCTATGAGTAAAACTCACAGGAATATTCAAATTCCAAAACCCCCAGGTCAAGGACAAAATATTATGAGCAACAAGAAAGAAAACAATTTACATATGGTGGTACCGCAATTAGAATCACACAAGACCTAGCAGCAGTGATACTAAAAGATTGCAGGTCTTGAAACACTGGATATTAAAGAGCAAAAGAACTTGGCTTCCAGCCAAAAATTTCATACCCTGCAAAGCTAAGCATAATTCTGAATGAAAAAAAAATGGACATTTGAACAATTGTCAGACTTTCAGGTCTTTGTTAAAAAAACAAAACAAAACAACCCTGACCTCAATAGAAGATTTAACGTACAAGAGCCAAGAGAAATATAAAGTATATACCAATGACCAATTACAAAGCACTAAATAAGTATAGAAGGTTTGCTTTTTGGGTATGAAAAATGTAAAACCTGTGTCTAAGATTGTTACTAGTAATTAGGTAGCTTATAAGGAAGATTGGAGGAGACCTGAGTATGTGCGATATGACTTCAAAAAGTAAAACCGTTCAAGTACAGGTAAAAGAGTAATTATCTTTGACAAATGAGGTGCAACAAGAAGAACCACAACAGCGGAATTAGACGAGGGAAGGGGGCTGTTAGTTCTGGAAACCTGCTCTCATCGGGAGTGGTTTTAAGAGGAGAATATACATATACATTTAGAAGAGTATAAAAGTCTCCTTAAATTTAGAAAGAAATGAAACTCTGAAAGGATAGGAAGGGGGAAGAGGATAAAGGAGGGATCTTTAGAGGGCAGGGTGTGGGAATAGGTTAAAAAGGGGATATAGAAGGGGATTTAGATTTAGGGGAATGGGAGGCTAAGGGAGGGATAAGGTAGGTTAAGTAATAGGAGGGTAAGGGAGCAGGTGGAAGTAAAGTAGAGGAGTTAGGATAGGAAAAATAAAGACATGCGCAAGGGGCAGCTAGGTGGTGCAGTGGATAGAGCACTGGCCCTGGAGTAGAAAGTAAAAAGTGTACCGCAGAGAACAAAAGAAAACCTACAAGGAGGAAGCAAAGAAAAGATGGACAGCTTTCAACATAATGCACAGTTTTTAACATATAGACTTTCTTGAAATGAAAAGTTATTGCTATATATTTTGAATCCTCTCCTATGTTCTGCTATGTACATGACTTTTTTTGTTTTTTGTTTTATATTTGTTTATAATGTTTCTTTTTCTTTTCTTATTTTGTATTTCAGTTTTAGCATTTGTCTAAAAATTTAAAAAGAGAACCTCCAAAGAGAAATTTGGAAAATTAATTTGTCCGTTTTTGTATTTGTAGGCATTTTCTTCTTGTAGATGGAGGGGGCATCTACTTATATTCTTATGAAGGACGATTCATTTCCTCTCCAAAATTTCCAGGGATGAGAACAGATATTCTGAATGCCCAGATGGTATCTTTAAGTAATGATACCATAGCAATAAAAGACAAAGCTGATGAGAAAAGTATGTATATTTTCATTTTTTACCCATATTCAAGTAAGTTTCGTGCAAATGTGTTGTTACTATTGAAGAATTACTTCTTGGGTTCTAGGGACCTGCACTTCCCCCCATGCAAGTCCCCACAGCTTGTAGTCCCTTTGTGACTTGGTGAATATTTGTTAAGAGTTGCTGTGGCCAAACTGTCCAAAGTTAGCTCCACTGGCCCTTGGACGATAGACCTACAGATCACCACCCCCAAGCCTGTGTTCAGAGCCTTTCCAGCCCGGTATGATCTGTGTTGGAGTAGAGAATTTCTAAAAAAAACCTAAATAATTGAAAACATTTTTTTAAAAAATCCTCACGTTTGGACTTGACTCATAGGCAACAATAAATAGTAATGATAATTTCTTGATTTGGGTTTGAAATAGATTAATTTTCAAATTTAAATGTTCATATTACATCTCTTTCATTAAAATCAGTACTTGTTGACTTGGATTGGATTGGAACAAAGATTATAAATCATTGTTCCCTTGCCAACCTCAGTGTGGTGGTAGCCAGAGACGGATGAAGACTCTGCTGGCGCTGCAAATGCTGCTGGGTTCCATCAGGTCGGAAAGGGATGGGTAGACCCGGCAGTGGCCCATATGTCCAGGGACCAGTCTGGCTAAGTTGATGGGGGGAGCATCATTACGTTGACCACTGAACGTTGAATTTTTAAGCCACAGCAGCTCTCAGAGAGATGGTCGTTCATGTTTGGCTTTGAAACATGTTGGCTCTTAAATGTATGTAAGGGTGTCATATTTGTTAAATATTTGGGGAATCTACAGCATAGTCAAAATGTTTTATGAAGGGCCTCACTATACCGGAGAGTTGATATATTGTGGACTAACTGGTGTCACATTTATTTAGTAATGTGTGGCTGTTAGTACAGCAGAGAAAATGTATCACGTGAATGTCATTCTGGTCAGCCAAGTTGGCATTATAAAGGGATTCTTCAGATAGAGTCTAAAACTGTGCTACAGGGCACTAACTCCAAAAAGAGCTAGAAGGTGCCCCCTTATGGCCAGCCCCCTGCAGCCCACTCGGTGATGTGAAGAGACGGCATCATTTCACATATGAATAAGAAGCACCACTCAGAGCTGCCCTTCACCTTCCTATTTTAAGAGGAAGTCTGGGTCTTTAAGTGGTTTGGTTCTGACCCACCTTCCTGATAAGCTTCAAAGTATGTAGGAATTGGATACGTAAGAACAAATGAAAACCGTGCCCAGGGAGCACAGAGACTCACAGACTGCCCCAGAAAGGATCTCAGAGACAGTGCAATCTGCCACATACCTGAGCAGGAAGCCCCTCTGTAACGTCCTGTGGTTGAAGATACCCCTCTGAGGAGGCCCATTCGCTTTGGGATTAGCGAGGTTTTCCTCACCTCGCATCTCCCCTGTCCTGTGGTTCTGCCCTCTTGGGGCCAGGTGGAACAAATCTAATCCCTCTTCCCCATGACCACCTTCACCTGCTTGGAGACAGCTTTCATGTACTTTCTGGCCTCAGGTCAGTCACTGAATGTGCTTCTTTGGACTCTCTTCAGTGCATCAATATGGGTTCTTAAAACATGGTGCCACAACTTCATACAATTTTCCAGATATCGTCTACCCAGAGCAGAGGATGTCGGGAATACGACCTCCCTGATCCTCAACACTCCACTTCTGACAGTGATGCCTTAGACATTCTCCTTGTTGTCTGCTTTCTCATGCTGTTGGTTCAGAATGAGCTTGCAGGCCACTGACCCCCAGACCAGCCATCTAGCGCCATCTCTTATCTTAGGAAGACTATTTTATTCTATTTCATTCATTCATTCATTTATTTATTTATTTATAGGCAGTTGGGGTTAAGTGACTTGCCCAGGGTCGCACAGCTATTAATGTGACAAATGTTTGGTCTGAGTACAGATTTGAACTCAGGTCCTCCTGACTTCAGGACCAGTGTTCTGTCCACTGTGCCACCTAGCTGCTGCAGGAAGTCTGTTTTAAAAGGAAAAACCTAAAACTCAAATATAAGCTGTTATTTGTATCCCTATTAAATATTATAAGATCTAGTCCAACGTTCTGGCCTGTCAGATCTTTTTGGATCCTGACTGTCATATAGTATATGAGCTGTTCTTCCCAAGTCTGTTATTTGCACATTTGAGAAGCATGCCAGTTATGCCCTTATCTAAATCATTGGTAAAAATGTGAAACAATACAGGGCCCAACACCATTCTCTGGCACTCCAGTGGGAATCTTCTTCCAAGTCAGCATTGAACCATTAATGTGTCAACACTTTGGGTCAGAGCAATCGACTAGTTTCAGATCCTTCTAATTGTATCATCATTTAGCTGATACCTCACCATCTTTTCCACAAGACTAACATAGGAGATGTGGTCAAATGCTTTGCTGAAATTTAGATTAACTATTTATGGCACACCTCTGTTCTCCATCTTTGCTAACTATCAAAAAATGAAGTTAATCTAGTATAGCCAGTACTTATGGAAACCATTCTGGCTCTTTGTGATCGTCGCTTCCTTTTCTAGGGGTTCCCTAACCACCCTTTAATAATACATTGTTGAATTTTGCCAAGTGTCTTGTCAAGCTCACTGTCCTTTAGTTTACAAATTCTATTAGCTTCCCTTCTTTAAGAATCAAAATATCCATCCATCTCTAATTCTACAGTGCCTTTGCAGTTCATTTTATTTTTTTAATTAACAAAAATCTATTGTCTTTCTTTTCTACTTCCCTGCAACCCCATTAACAAAGGGAAAACAAAACAAAACAAAATGCTTGTCACAAACATACATACTCAAGCCAAACAAATTCCCTGCATCAGTTACTGCTCTATGAGGTAGAGCATAGCCGGTTTTGTCATGAGTGCTCCTGAATCGTGGGTTGTCATTGTGTCAGTCAAAGTTCTTAAGTCTTTCAAAGGCTACAGTACTTTTCCCATTCTCCACAATCTTTTAAGATCCCTGACAGTGGCTACCCCTTACTCCCTGCACTGCAGTCCTGTCCTTTTCTTGATCCTGTTTCTCTGATAATCAGAACTAAACCAGTTTTGAGTCTGTTTAATTGTGCTGTCCCAGGATAGTCATATCTGTCTAGAGAGCAAGAAGGAAATTTCTTCCTTCCTTCTGTTAACTTCTATTTAACACAACACTCATCACTTCTGTGTGTATTAGCCAATGCTTTTAGAACACTCTTCTAGATTTATTCCTTGTACCGAGGTCTAGGGAAAACAGATATATGCTGATGGTGAAAGATTAATATTTCAGATGGCTTCTTTAAATATATATGTATATAGCTTTAAGGTTTACAGAGTGATTTACAGATAACTCATTTTATTTTCACAGTAACCTTGGGAAGTAGGTGCTGTTTTTTAAAAGCGCATAGACTTTTTTTTTCAGTTCCATATTCTCTATCTCCCATCTCCAACCCAGTGAAAAGGCAAAAAACCCCCAACAAAACCCATTACAAATATGTATGATCATTTGAAACAAATTTCCTCATTAGCTATGTTTTCCCTCTGCCCTCTGCAGAAAAAGAAAGAAAGAAAGAAAATATACTTTAATCTGTGCTTGGCATCCATCAGTTCTTTATCTGGAGGTGAATAGTGTGTTTCATCAGGAGTCCTTTGGAATTGTGGTTGGTCATTATATTAATCATAATTACACAATTGATTATTGTCACAATATTGCTGTGACTATGTAAATTGTTGTCCTTACTTCACTTTATATCAGTTCATACAAGTCTTCCCAGGTTTCTCCAAGACTGTCTCTTTCATGATTTCTTACATCACAAATCTGTTGCATTCATATGCCAAAGCTTGTTCAGCAGTTCATCACTTGATGGGCATCTCCTTGGATTCCAGTTCTTTGTCACCTCAAAAAGAGCTGCTAAAAATATTCATGTACATATGGATCCTTTCCCTTTTCCTTTGATCTCTTTGGGGCATAGACCCAGTGGTAGTATTTCTGGGTCAAAGCATATGCACACTTTTATAGCTTTTGGGACATGGTTACAAATTGTTCTCCAGAATGGTTGGACCAGTTCACAGCTCTGATGAAGCCTCAGTGTGCCTGTTTTCCCACATCCTCTCCAGCATTTGTCATCTTCCTTTTTTGTCATCTTAGCCAATCTGATGGGTGTGAGGAAGTACCTCAGTTGTTTTAATTTGCGTTTCTCTAGTTATTAGTGACTTAAAGCATTTTTTTATGTGACTTGATAGCTTTGATTTGTTCCTCAGAAAAACGGCCTGTTGGGGAATGGCTTTTATTCTCGTAAATTTGATTTAGTTGCCTATATACCTTATAAATGATACCAGAGAAATGTACCAGAGACATATGTTGCAAAGATTTTTTTTCCCCCAGACCTGCTTTTCTTCTAATTTTAGCTTCATTGGTTTTATTTGTGCAAAACCTTTTTAATTTTATGTCAAAATTATCCATTTTACCTCCTCTGACCCTCTTTATCTCTTATTTGTTCATGAACTCTTTCTCTATCCATAGATTTGACAGGTAGTTTCTTCCATGCTCCACTAATTTGCCCTTTATGTCCAAGTCATGCATCCATGCTGAGCTTATTCTTGGTATTTGGGGGTAAGATGTTGGTCTATGCCTAGTTTCTCCCAGACAGCTTTCTGATTTTCCTAATAGTTTTTGTCAAATAGTGAGTTCTTGCTCCAATAGCTGGGATCTTTGAGTTTATAAAACACCAGGTTATGCGCTCATTTGCTTCTGTATATCAAGTATCTAACCAGTCCCACTGATCAACCGCTATTATCTAGTATCTAATTATTTTGACAATTACAGCTTTGTGGCACAGTGGATAGAGCACTGGCCATGAAGTCAGGAGGACCTGAGTTCAAATCTGGTCTCAGACCAAACACTTGACACTTACTTAGCTGTGTGACCCTGAGCAAGTCACTTAACCCCAACTGCCTAAAAAAAATACACAGACAATTACAGCTTTGTAATATAGTTTGAGACTGATACTGCTAGTCTCCTTTCCAATTTTCTTATTGATTTTGTCTTGATATTCTTGACCTTTTGTTCTTCCAGATGAATTTTGTTATTTTTCTAGCTCTATAAAGTAATTCTTTGGCAGTTTGGCACTAAATGAGTAAATTAATTTAGGTAGTAAATTTTATTATATTGGCTTGGCCTAACCATGAACAATTAAGATTTCTTTAATTATTTAGATAACCTTTGTTGGTGTGAAGAGTGTTTTGTAATTGTGTTCATATAATTCCTGCACATGTCTTGGCAGATAGACTCTTAAGTATTTTATGCTGTCTGTAGTTATCTTAAATGGACTTTCTCTTTCTGTCTCTTTCTACTGGGTTGTGTTGGTGATATATAGAAATGCCAATGATTTATGTGGGTTTATTTTATATCCTGCAACTTTGCTGAAGTTGTCCACTGTTTCACTTTGTTTTTTTAGTTGACCTTTAGGGTTCTCTAAGTAAATAACCATGTCATCTGTAAAAAAATAATCGATTTCTTTCCTCATTGCCTGCGCTTATTTCTTCAATTTCTTTTTCATGTCTTATTGCTATAGTTAGTATTTCTAGTGCAATGCTGAACAGTAGTGGTGATAGTGGACATCCTTGCTTCACCCCTGATCTCATTGGACCATCTTGTCCTACTCCGCCATCTTATAGGTGGGGAGTCAGGAGCCCAGCAAGATTAAGTGGAGATTATGGTTGGATAGCTCAGAAGTGGTGGGATCAGGATTTGAGCCTTATTCATAGAGAATGAAACAGTGCAGACGTCACTGCTTCTCTACCAGGCCAGCCCACTCTCTGGTTCTGCTTATTTGTTAGATAATTCGGGAGATAATTAAACTTATTCTCACTATTAGGATATGGGTTTGAGGTTGTTTTTTTTTTTAATAATTTCTCCTAAACACAGAACAGTTTGCAAGCCATATTTGGATTATCTGCTGTCTTTCTTGTGAAACATAGTCACCTTAGTTTTTAAAAAATAGTTTTAATTCAGAAGATGTATGTTTTAGGGAATTGTATTCAACCCATCACTATGTTTATGTGAAGAGTTGGGCTATTGAGTGCACTCAAAATTCTTTTGTATCTAGAGGGAGTTATGGTAGTTTTCATCAAGAATATGACAAGTAGATATGTTGAGCCTATACCAATTTATATGCTGTCTTGGGGTGGGGAGAAGGGAGAGGTGGGGAGAAAATTTGGAACTCAAAATCTTATAGAAATGAATGTTGAAAACTAAAAATAAATAAATACATTTATTATTTAAAAAAAGAATATGAAAAGTAGGAAAATGGCAACTGTTGGAAGGGACATGGGAAAATTAAAATGCAAATGTATTATTGAAGTTGTATACTAATTCAGCCATTCTGGAGAGCAATTTGGAAAAGGCTGTATAAAACCATGCATACCCTTTGACCAAGCAATACCACTACTAGGTCTGTATCCCAAAGAAATAAAAGAAAAAGACGTATGTGTACAAAAATATTTGTAGCAGCTCTTTTAGTGGTGGCAAAGAATTAAAAATTGAGGGGATATTTATCAACTGGGAAATGGCTGAACGAGTTGTTGCATATAATTGTGATGGAATGCTATTATGCTATAAGAAATGATGAGCAGGATGCTGTTAGAAAAACCTGAACTTATATGAACTGATGCAGTGTGAAATGAGCAAAACCAGGAAAACATTGTACATAGTAACAGCAATAGTATGTGATGATTTATTATGAATAGCTTAGTTATTCTCGGCAATACAATGATCCAAGACAATTCTGTAGGATTTATGAAAGGTGCTGTCCATCTCCAGAGAAAGAACTGGTAGAGCCTAAAGGAAGATCAAAGATACTTTTTCTTTACTGTATTTATTTTTGTTGGGTTTTTTTTGTCTGTGTTTTCTTTCACAGCATGACTTACATAAAAATGTTTTGCATGACTGCACATGTATAACTTATGTCAAATTGCTTGTCTTTTCAGTGGAGTGGAGGTAAGAGGGAGAGAATTTGGAACTCAAATTTTTAAAAAAATGTTAAAATTGTTTTACATGTAATTGAGAAAAATAAGATATTAAATAAGAAAAAATAAAGATATTGTGAAAAGCATAAGCAAGGGCAAAAAAAGAATATGAAGTTATTGAGATTTACAAGTATAAGAAACATTATATGATACATTAACTGATGTTATGATTCTTTCTAGTTATCTTCTTATTTGAAGCATCATCAGGAAAACCGCTAGGTGATGGAAAAATTCTTTCACATAAGGTAATGGAAAAATTCTTTCACATAAGGTAATAGGTGTTAGAAAATACCTTTCTAAATAATATGTATTGTTTATGTACTCAAACCTTTAAAATACTAACAATTTTGCAAAGGAAAATGAATATAGTTTAACTGTACAATTATAGTCAATGTTCCCTTTACATGAAATTTTTTGCGTAGAAAAATATCATAGTTTAAAAAGTCACTGACTCATGTCTGCTATAGGGAAAGCAAATTATAAACTAAAGAATTGGGATCCCGTTTATACTTCTGTTGTTTCGTGTAAGTGAGGTATTCTTGCTTTGATTAAAGTGGTTGATAGCCATGAGCAAATGAAGCTGTTTGAATTTTAATATATCTTATAATTCCTCAGCCTTCATTTGTCTGCTGTGTAAAAGTGCATTTGAACTAGATAAGTATCTTCCTCAACAGAAGAGCAAAAACACCAATATTGATGAATTTACTAAGTTATTTAGTTGCTACAGACTTTTGAGGGTGGTCAGTCTTTAGCTTTTAACATGCCACTGTTGTGTGACCTCAGGCCCTTGGTTTCCTCATGTATAAAATGGGGACGTTGGACTAAGTGACCTCTGAGATCAGCTCTAGTTGTATGACTGTGTGGTTGTGCACGCTGATGGATCTGATTGCGTCATGTGGGTGCTTTCCCCTAGGTTCAGAACACAGTAGAATTCTCATCTCCATCTACACAAATCCTCCACAGAAAACTCCACCCTGGTGCTGGATGCCTTTCTTGAGTCTGTTCTCCTTCCCTTTCCCCTTCCCCTTTTCTGTCCTGCAAATTTTCAACTAGGTGTCATTGTTGGTAATATGGTGTGGCACACTTATGCCCACCATGTTGAGTACCAGCAGCTAATTTGATGTTTATAGATGGTGTTAGAATTGTGTGAGACATAGTGCTTACTGCCCCCTTTTCTCCATTTTTCTCTCATTTGCTGCAAAGTGGTACAGAATCACACAAGACTGAGTGTTCATGTGTATTTTTGTGCATCTGATAGGTCACCATAGCTAAAATAAAACTCATAAATTTTCTGGGGGATGGGCTGCTTCCTACCTGGCCCTCAGACAGAAGGCACATGTCCTGTTGAAGATCTGTGACTTTCTGGCTTGGTGAAAGTAGTCCAGGCTTTGGAGAACTAGGGATGATGGGAAAAATCATTTGTTTTCTTGAGGAATTCCTCTAGTAAAAGGCAGGCTATTTCCTAAGGATGTTCCTTTACTCTGTTGCCCTCATCCATGCACAGGAGCCTGAATTTAGAACTAAGGCAGAGCCAGAGGTCACCTCTGACTGGCCCTCTCATTTCCCAGGTAAGGAGATTTGGTGAAGTGATTTGCCTAATAGGGAGTCGCAGAGTAGAGACTGGCGGCTGGATCCTCACTCCTCAAGGGCTCTAAGTGTTCATCAAAATTGTGTTTCCTCTGGCTTACGACTTTTTTGTAAAGATGCTTAGGCCTACATTTTCCCTTTCACTGGAGCAGAGGAGCAGATTATTCAGGTTTGGAACTAGTAATTCTTTTGGGCCATTAGGATTGAATTAAAAGATGAATTACATCCTCATCTGTAAGTGTTAATAATGTATATTTGCATTATAAACTTCAGTGTCTAATCTCTTTGAGGGAATTTTTGCCAACTAATTGGAAAAAATGCAGGTAATTTCTTCAAATCTAGCAATCCTGTAGTTTATTCTTCACTTAACTCCATTGATGCTCTTATGCACCTTTACTTACTGGCATATAATTTAGGTTTAAACAGTTTTTGCTTGCATATACTTTTAAACAGTAGTGTTACCAAAGCCAGGCTTTAAGGAAGAAGGACCTGGGTTTGAGTCTTGGCTCTGACACATCTTGACTGTGTGACCCTAGGCAAGTCACTTCACTTTCAGAGCAGATGCTGGCCTACATTAGCCAAGGGCCCTTCTCAATCAGGAGTTCTCCATATCCTACAAGAAACTGCAAATCTAATCCCCGTCTCATAATTGTTTAATTTGATGTAAATGTGAGAAAGTTTGTAGGGGCTGTGACGAAGTAGCAACACTAATGAAGTTGCAGATCTCCCAAAGGCATTTAATTGGTATCCTGAACATCTTGTTATGCTTTAGTATCACCTATGATCCGACACACTTGCCCCTAGCTTCTGCAGCTGGGTATGTTCACCCGACAGAGAGGAGCTCAGTGCACTGGCCTGGCTGTTGCAAACTCCCATTGGCCTGTCTCCTGTCTGCTGCTGACTCCTGCACCTCTTGAGCTCTCCTCCCCTCCTTGCTGTCAGTAACCTTACCTTCTCAATGCCATTAATTTTCCCTTAGATATCTCTCCCCACAAACCATCCAAGGTGGAGGGCTTGAGCCCGGCCCACCTCCATGCCTCCCTAGGCAGGGCAGGGGGAAGCATCGGCCGCATGCTCACCAGCCTCTTCCCTGCAGACCAAGCTGGACCACCTCCAAACAGAGAACATTCGTCTGCAGGGTCAAGTTGTAGCTGCAAAAGACAGAGGCACTGACCCTGGCAGTAGCTGGAGCATCCCTTCCAGTCTCACACCCATTTGAGTGAGTCTATCAGACAAAGTATCCACTCAGGCTGAAGCGGTGCCAGATTTGGAACCCATGTCTACTTCTCCAAGCTGGACCCACTGCTCTGCTCCCAATCCATCCAGATGGACTTTGTGGTCCTAGATCTAGATGTGGGAGAGACCTCGGGTCGTCGAATCCAGCGCACTCATTTCACCAAACGGGAAACTAAGACCCACTTTCTGAAGGTCACCCAGGGACAGAGTGGCGGCTTGAACCCGCCTCCTCCAGCTCTTGACCCGGCACTCTCGTCCACCGTATCATTTTGCCTCTCTGAAACTCTCCATTTCACGATTATCCAGGGTGGTGCTTGGTGGGCGTCTTCATCTGCCCATTATAAATTGTCATTTGCTGAAGGAATTTAAAAATTTTATCTGGAATCTCAAGCAAACTTTTGAAAACCTAGTATTTTCCCAAGCTAGAGACAGGTCATAAAGCCTAAACAGGAGCAGTTTCAGTGGCAAATATTCCAACCTTTTGGAAACCGAGTAAGTATGTAGCTTGGAATGAGCTTACAGTGATCATACGAGTCTTTTTTATTTAAAAATTTTTTTTTCAATTACCAAGAATTCATTTTTTCCCCTCCCTCCCACTTTCTTCCACCCACTGGAGAAAAAGAGACAGTCAGAGAGACAGACAAAGAGAAATAAAGAACCACTGAATCATGAGCCTAGTCAAGCAAAACATTCCCACTTCAGTCACGTCCAAATATGCTTTTCTTATTCTGTGTATTAATCCATCTGTCTTGAGGTGGGCAGCATTCTTCTTTATCTGTTCTCTAAAATAGAGTCGAACATTTAGTTGATCAGAGTTTTTCAATCATATTAATATCACAGTATAAACTGTGCTTTTGGTCTGCTTACTTCCCACTGCCTGAATTCATACATTCATCTTTCCATGTCTCTTTTAAACCAACTTTTGCCTCATTTCTTAGAACACGGTAATATTCCTTGACCTTCAGATACCCAGTTTGTTTAGCCTTTCTCTAGCTGATCTGCATCAAGGCCAGACTCTATATTCCCATCGGGATGAACAAGTCCAGACCCAGTTGAGCCCTGCAAAATGCGCCATTTTTATTCAGCCTATGAATTTTGCTATTATTCTTTCCATCCCTGACAAGCACCATCTTTCTGCTTGACTACTACCTGGAGTTGAAGGTCAACCAGATGGAATTAGAGACTGCACTGGACATCTCTACAGCTGCATACAAGCAGGTCCCTGACTGCCATCAGACAACTTAAAAGCCCCTTCAAATTGAAGAATGGCCTTGCTTGTCAACTCAAAATCTTCTTTCTCACTGGCCATCTTTCAGTCTAAAGGGCAGAGCCATTCAGCTGGTGATCCCCAAAAGGTGGTTTTTCACCGGAAACTTCCCAACACTTGGTGATTCACAGGGTTTTTCACTGGTTGCTGCTCTCAAAGGCCCATGGGGACACAGACTTCTGCCCTTCAGCCCTATAACCATTTCCTTTTTTTGGTCAAAAAGCTGGAGGGATTTATAGTCAAGGAAGTAGACAGTTTCCAGGAAATATTTGGAGGCCAAGAGCAGGGAGTAAGAACTGCAGGCTCTGAAGGGCTGGTATATCCGTGAACCTCCCATGGATAGATGGAGATTTCTTTTCCCAGCCTGGAATTTGTCTGTGCAAGCCCAGAACCAGAGCTGTAAGGCTTTTCTGGACATCTTAAGTGGAGGCAGGTGCACTTGAGAGGGTGAGCAGAGGTTCACCACATATCAGCCATTGGCGGCTCTCCATGTGGCCTGTTCCACTTGTTTGAGCAGTCGTGTCTTGAGCCCTGGCTTGTTTGTCTTGCTTGGGCTCCCTCCATGCTCCTGGAACTTTTTGTCTGTTATTTTGCTCCCTAGGACACTCCTTCTCATTAATGGTGTAGCTTTGACCTCAGCTTAGCCATGGAATGACCCAGCAGCTCTCCCTCACCATTTGACTCAAGTATAACCTTCTCCATAAAGCCTTCCCTGGCCCCCCAGCCAAAACAGATCTCTTCTCTTCTAACATTTCTGGACTTCTAAGTTGCAAACTGTTATGTTCACCCCCTTTCACTGCCAAGCTCCTTTAGATTGTAAGATCCCTGTTGTTTTTCATAATGTATCTTCAGTTCCTGACCATGTTAATACATTTGTTGAATTGAACAGAATTAAAATGTTGGCAGTACTAAAAATTATTTGATGAACATCTTATGATAATGAGTTGTTCATATGTTTAATTGGGTTATGATTGTGATTTTTCCACTAAAGTCCTGCTTTGATGCCTAATTGTGATGTGGAGGTGATCCTTGATTTGACAAGCTACTAAGTTGGGAAGGCTTCAAGTACAGTCCTGAAGGTAGACTGCCTAGCATCTGAGGAACAGCCAGCTAAATTCAGAGAGCCTCAGCGTCAGATTGGCCTCATGGCCAGCCCCATGAATTTTTTGGTCATAGAAATTGTTGAAGACTTTCTACCAAGTCCTAATGGAGTTAAGATACAAACTCTTTCAGCAGGGAAAGTGTCTACATCAATGAGCTCTGGGATCTTTGAAAGGTGTTTATAAGTAGAAAGTCAATGAAATTTTCTTCTGTGTAAAATTTAAAAATATTTTTCAAATAAAATTTTTATTGATCTCTTTTATGTTACTTGCATTTTTTATTGTATCCACCCACATGCCTCCTCCTAGAGAGCTGTCCCTTATAACACAGAATTTAAAAGAGGAAAAAGAGTTTGGTCAAACTAACCAATATATTAACATTATAAATCTGACATTATATTCAATGTACATATGAAATATTCCTTTTTTATTTTATTTTTTTAAATTTATTTTGATTTATCAACAATCACTTCCATATGCTTTGGAGTTTAAAATTTTTCTCCCCCTCCCTCCCCACCACCCTCCCCAAGACAGCGCACAATCTGATATAGGCTATACATATACATTCCTATTAAACAAATCTTCACATTAGTGATGTTATAAGTAAGAATTAGAACCAATAGGAGGAACCACCAGAAAGAGGAAACAAAATACAACAGAAGAAAAAAAATAGCAAATAGTGTGCTTCTGTCCGCATACAAACTCCATAGTTCTTTCTTTGGATGTGGGCAGCATTTTCCATCACGAGGCCTCTGGAGATGTCTTAGATCCTTGTATTGCTGGGAAGGGTTAAGTTTATCAATATTAGTCATCGCACAATGTGACTGTTGTTGTGTACAACGTTCTCCTGGTTCTGCTCACTTCACTCAGCATCAGACCATAAAAGTCTTTCCAGGTTTTTCTGAAGTCAGCCTTTGTCATCATTTCTTATAGCACAATACTAGTCCATTGCATTTATATACCACAGCTTGCTCAGCCATTCCCCAATTGATGGGCATCCTCTCAATTTCCAATTCTTTGCCACCACAAAAAGAACTATTATAAATATTTTTGTACATGTGGGTCCTTTTCCCATTTTTATGATCTCTTTGGGATATAGCCCTAGAAGTGCTATTGCTGGGTTAAAGGGAATGCACATGTTTATAGCCCTTTGGGTATAGTTCCTAATTGCTCTCCAGAATGGTTGGATCATTTCACAACTCCACCAACAACGTATTAGTGTTCCAATTTTCCCACATCTTCTCCAGCATTTATCGTTTTCCTGTTTTGTCATCTTGGCCAACCTGATAGGTGTGATGTGGTACCTCAGAGTTGTTTTGATTTGCGTTTCTCTAATCAATAACGATTTAGAGCATTTTTTCATATGACTATAGATGGCTTTAATTTCTTCATCTGAGAACTGCCTGTTCATATCCTTTGACCATTTATCAATTGGGGAATGGCTTGTGTTCTTATAAATTTGACTTAATTCTCTATGTATTTCAGAAATGAGGCCCTTATCAGAGAGACTGGTTGTAAAAATTCTTTCCCAATTTTCTACTTTCCTTCTAATCTTGGTTGCATTGGCTTTGTTTATGCAAAAACTTTTCAATTTAATGTAACCAAAGTTATCCATTTTGCTTTTTGTAATGTTCTCTATCTCCTGTTTGGTCATGAATTCTTCTGTTCTCCATAAGTGTGATAGGTAAACTATTCCTTGCTCTCCCAGTTTGCTTACAGTATCAGCCTTTATATCGAAATCGTGAACCCATTTTGACTTTATTTTGGTGTATGGTGTGAGGTTTGCGTCTATGCCTAGTTTCTGCCATACTCTTTTCCAGTTTTCTCAGCAGTTTTTGTCAGAGAGTGGGTTCTTATCTCAGAAGCTGGGGTCTTTGGGCTTATCAAATAATACATTATTATAGTCATTGACTACTGTGTCTTGCATACTTAACCTGTTCCACCGATCCACCTCCCTATTTCTTAGCCAGTACCAAGCAGTTTTGATGACTGCTGCTTTATAAGACGATGTAAGATCTGGAATGGCTGGGCCACCTTCCCCTGCATGTCTTTGCATTCGTTCCCTTGATATTCTGGACCTTTTGTTCTTTGTAATGAATCTTGTTGTTATTTTTTCTAACTCTATAAAATAATTTCTTGGTAGTTCGATTGGTATGGCACTGAAGAAGTAAATTAGCTTAGGTAGGATTGTCATTTTTATTATATTAGCTCGGCCTACCCATGAGCAACCGATCTTTTTCCAGTTATTTAGATCTGATTTTATTTGTGTGAAAAGTGTTTTGCAATTGTGTTCATATAGTTCCTGGATTCATGTGAAATATTCTTAAATTGATATTTATACTAGGGGGACAAACCCAAATCGTACTTTTTTTCCTGTTTTTTAATCTTAGAATGAAATCTTGGAAATTGCTGTGGATCAAAAAGGACTGACCAGTGAAAGAAAAATTGCTTTTATTGACAAAAATAGAGATCTTTATATCACTTCAGTTAAACGATTCGGGAAGGAAGAACAAATTATTAAACTTGGTAAAAAGAACCTACTTAAACTAGTTACCATTCTCTCAGTAACTGCTTTATCATATGAAACATAAACTTCTTGAGAGAAGAGACTGTTTTGTATTTTTGTCTTGATGTCCTAGGGCCTGAAACATTGCCTTACGCATGATAAATGCTTTTTGAATGTTGAAAAGTATATGTTGATATTTGGCTTATTCAAATAAATATGAATTTAAGTGACTCTTACTTTAAACTAAGAGACATTTGGCTTAATTCAGAAGGCTTGTTTTCTGCTTACATGTCCCAGAATTTGGTCTTGCCAATTCAAAATGTTATGAGTCAAGATAAAGCAGCTCTATTAACTATCATTCTAATTTTTTAGGAGGAATTATTTATAAAGTTTATGTTTCATTTATCAAACAGCCAGGAGATATGAAGAACACATAATGGGATGGGATGGGGACGATGGGGATTGGATTTAAAAAGGCAGATACTGTATATCTGTTGTGTATAGCTTGCTTTTCTTTTAAGGATACAATAAATTCAACTTGTAACTTTCAAAAAAAAAAGTAGGGGATCCGGACATTGCTGACTTCAGCTGCTTTAGAAAGTTAAAAAATGCACACATGTGTACACACACACACACACACACACACACACACACACAGAGGGAGAGCCAGCTTTAAAGCCGGGACGAATCCTACAGCAGCCATATGTTGCTTGGGTGATCTTGGGCAAGTTACTTAACCTCTTACTTCTGTAGGTAACTTTCTAAGACGAGGCATTGCAGAGAAGGGGCCAGGCTGAGGTCATGGAGCACATGTCCTCTCGGAGAGTTCCTGTGCCTTTGAGACCAAGCTGAGGCTTAGCCCCATGCGTTCCCCCCCCCACCCCACCAACCCTTAATCTGCAAGGAACGTGCTGGATGATTTTTAAGTGACTTTGAACATTTTTCATAAATTTCCTTTTAATAATTCATTTCACAAACATCTCTAATATGATTGTCATTAATGATAACTAACAAATAACAGTTACCAACATATTTTATATAATGTCAGCGAAAATTGTAGGTAGCGCAGTTGTAATTGCCTTTTCCTGTGCAGGTACGATGGTGCATACTTTGGCATGGTGTGACACGTCCAATATCCTTTGTGGACTTCAAGATACTCGTTTCACAGTTTGGTATTATCCCAACACGGTTTATGTTGATCGAGATATTTTGCCCAAAACATTGTTTGAAAGGGATGCAAGGTAACATCTCTTTTGCATGAAGCAATATTTGTCGTGGCTAATAGACATACAAAAAAGCGCTAAACCTGTGTCTTTACTTAGAATTTTAAATAGGGAAAATGTTTCAACTATTAGCTAAATCATTCCACTCCATCCAGCTTTATCTTAATTCGCGTAAAGGATATTGTTTTGTGAATATTAAATATTAAATTGCAAAGTGTTGGGTGTTATATATTTCTATATATTTATCTACATGCAAACGTGGCTATGAAAAATTAAGATGCATTTATATTTGTAAAAATGTCGTGGATATATGTAAATACATGTCTAGATATAGACACATATCCCCATGTATAGGTAGATCGAGACATGTAGACATATACAAATAGATTTTCCTTTTTCTCACCTGAGATGAGAAACATAACTCTCTAGATTCCCCAGATCTTTTAAGTGTAGTCATTTGGTCATGAGAAATACTAATAAAAATACTTTTTCACCTCAAAACTTCTCTTTCAAAAAACAGATTTTGAATTTGGTTTCTAGTCTGGTTTTCACATCAGAGTTCCATTTATTAGTAGAACTCACCAAAATGTTTCATTTGTTTCAGAGTGTTTTGGAAATTGGGCAGCTGTGTGGTTCAGTGAATACAGTATGGGGTTTGGAGTCAGGAAGACTCATCTTCCTGAGTTAGAATCTGGCCTCAGACACTTACTAGCTGTGTGATCCTGGGCAAGTCACTTAATCCTGCTTGCCTCATTTTCCTCATCTGTAAAATGAGCTGGAGAAGGAAATGGAAAACCACTCTAGTATTTTTGCCAAGAAAATCCCAAATGGAGTCACAAAGAGTCAGACATGACTAAAATGATGGAAAAACAACAAAAAAAGTTTTGAAAGTTACTGAAACTCTTATTGACCCTGACCTTCTAAAAGATTCATCTCTGAAGATTCTTGTGGAATATTAGTCTAGAATCATCAATTTTGTGCATCTCTTACTATTATGTTGCTCTTATGGGCAACATAAAATTTTGCAATTCTCTTATTTTTATTAGTTCACATTTTAGTAATTACATCTTTCTTGAAGTTGAGTAATTTAGTGTTGAAGTAGTAGAAGCTCCAACTGCTTAGAATCCTTAATTCCAAATGCTTCTCAGGCTAAACCCCAAATCTGTACTGGTACATACAGTAAGATACAGTTCATTTTTATTATAAATATTTCTTTTCACCTTTAAGTTTGAGGACTCTGAAGGCAGTTAACATTGTGTGGATAGGGCAAGATGTACAATTACCCCAAATCTGTAATAGTCTGTCAAAATTTGTACTTGGAATATAATGTCTGTTTTTTATTTTGAAGTAATCTAACATTTTTACTCTTTTAACAGTGAATTCAGTAAAAATCCCCACATTGTGAGTTTTGTTGGAAATCAGGTAACCATAAGAAGAGCAGATGGCTCTCTGGTTCACATCAGCATATCACCTTATCCTGCTATTCTTCATGAGTACGTTAGCAGTTCAAAATGGGAAGATGCTGTAAGACTGTGCCGCTTTGTTAAGGTACGTTCAATTGAGTTACGTTCAAAAGAATCTGAATGTTCCCTTTGTCTTGCATTGATATTGTGCTTTTGGTGACTAGCACGGCTCTCGGGGCTAGAGTGGAGCTGATGGTAGAGGGGCAATAGATAGGACATGTGTCATCGAGTTCTGCTTCCCCCAAAGGGGCTTCTTGGAGTCCTTTGGGCAGTGAGCTAGTGCTAGGGACAAGATCCTCCCTCAGATGATTGCTAGCTCTGTGGCCTTGGAACTCACTCAGCCTTTTCATCTGTAAAGTCAAGTTGGACTCAGTGACTTCTGAGGCTCCTATCCAGCAGCAGGAGCAGTAGAAGCAGCAGCCGCCACAGCAGCAGGAATTAGTAACAGCAGCAGCAGGAATAGGGTCATTTTTAATTCAATAAATTAATTTCTTTTGTAATTCAGGAAAAAAGCCCTTTTTTCAGAAATTATTTTTAATTAAAATGAAAACCTGTATTTGGTGTTTCTACACTTATCCAAAGAAACTCTCCTTGAAATAAAATTGTCTTGAAGCTTACCCTTTGGCACACTTTGTTATAGAGTTTACTTTTAAAATCAAAAAAGAATTACAACCATTATTTTAGTTCTGGTACTTAAATTGTTTGTTTTAACACAACTCAGGTATTAAAGACTAACTGTCTTTTTGGATTCTCATTCTCCTGTTTTACTTTAGGAGCAGACAATGTGGGCTTGCCTGGCTGCCATGGCAGTGGCCAATAGAGATATGACGACTGCAGAAATAGCCTATGCATCCATTGGGGAAGTAAGTGTACTATGCTCCTTTTTGTTTTTTAGCTGGATTTAAATCATACGTCTTTTCTTCCCCCTTCAAATATGTCATCTTCTCTTTTTCCAGATCGACAAGGTGCAGTACATCAATTCCATCAAAGACCTTCCATCCAAAGAGTCCAAGATGGCTCACATGCTGATGTTTAGTGGCAACATCCAGGAGGCTGAGATGGTCCTCCTTCAGGCAGGCCTCATTTACCAGGCTATCCAGATCAACATCGATCTTTACAACTGGGAAAGGTACTGAACGAAGCAAATAGAGATCTGGGTCAGGCTGGCCTGACTTGGATCCACCCAGAGCCCCAGGAGACCTTGGAGGGAAATGCGTCCAATGTGGCCTGGTGCCCTACAAGGAATGGGTCACTGTGGCTGTGTTTGGACAGCTGACCACCCACGAGTCAGACCTCCTGCTCACACAGAGGAAGCAGTGATGGGGTGAGGACTCGGGAGGGGGAGAAGGCAAGCAGAGACCAGTGCCCAGCAGTGTGTCAGAAGCAGGACTGACCCGAGCTCAGCTCTTGATCCACTTTGCCATACTGCAGAAATACAATTCATTATGTGCTGAGCTGTTCTGCATCTGGGACATCCTTTAGGCAACTCTAGGAGGCAGAATCTTTATCACCATTCAGGCCCCAGGTTTAATAGCTAGTAACTGCTCACCTTTATATAGTGCTGCCTATGTACCAGGCGCTGTGCCAAGAGCTTTACCATTGTTATCTCATTTGATCCTCACAACAAACCAGGGAGGGAGACAGGTACTGCTATTATCTTCATTTTACATCAAAGAGACTGAGGAAAACAAGTGAAGTGACTTGCCCCAGGTCACCCCACTAGTGATAGGCCAGACTTGAAGTCATGCTTCCTGACCGCAGGCCTAGCATTCTATCCACTGTGCCAGCTGCCTGCCCCTGGACTTAGGCTTTCACTGCTAGGCAGTGGGGGACAGCAGACAGTTTTTGAGCCGTGATAGTCGTGATAATCATTTTAACAGAGTAGGCAGCTGAGGGCGAATTGGAATGGAGAATGACAGGAGGGGGAGGCTTGGTTAAAGGCCAGGGCAGGAGGCTGGAGGGGGTTGGATCCTAGTCAGACTGGCTCTGAGGTTCTGAGCACAAGGGACTGGTACAGTAACGGAGATGGGGAAATCACAAAGACAGAATGTTTCAGGAGAAAGTGCTAAGCTGTTAGTTATTTTGAGCTTAAAGTAGTAAAGCTAGGTGGAACTATCTGGGAGGAGGATCAGAATTCGTGATAGAGATCTATACTGCTAAGGTGGTAGTTAATTACTTGTCTTCACAATCCAGCTCTAACATCATTTGCTAGCTTTATCATCATATGCTTTATAAGCTAATTAAAATTGCACTACTCACTGAGCCCAGACCCCATGCCTTGATGCATGGCTCTGTCCTCCTGAAATGTCCTCTGCTCCCATCTCTTGCTGCTGACACCTTTTTTTTTTAATTAGTTAATTTATTTTTAGTTTTCAGTGTTCACTTCCATAAGGTTTTGAGTTTTCAATTTTCTCCCCTCCCTCTTCTCGCCCCTCTCCGAGAGAGTGTGCAATCTAATATAGGCTCTACTTATACATTCATATTAAATGTATTTTTACATTAGCATGATGTAAAAAAGAATTGGAACTAATGGGAGGAACCACAAGAAAGAAGAAACAAAACAAAACAACAAAAGAAAAGGAGAGTAAATAGTATGCTTCCATCTGCATTCAGACTCCATAGTTTTTTTTTCTGGATGTGGTTAGCATTTTGCATCATGAGTCTTTTGAAGTTGTCTTAGATCCTTGCATTGCTAAGAAGAACCAAGTCTGTCAAGGTCTATCAAGACACGATGTGGCTCTTACTGTGTACAGTGTTCTCCTGGTTCTGCTCACTTCAGTCAGCATCAGTCCATACAAGTCTTTCCAGATTTTTCTGAAGTCCGCCTGCTCATCATTTCTTATATCACAATAGTATTCCTTTACATTCATATACCACAACTTGTTCAGCTATTCCCCAATTGATGGGCATCCCCTCAATTTCCAATTCTTTGCCACCACAAAAAGAATAACTGTAAATATTTTTGTACATGTTGGTCCCTTTCCAATTTTTCTGATTTCTTTGGGATACAGACCCAAAAGTGGTATTGCTGGGCTAAAGGATATGCACAGTTTCTTTCTTTCTTTCTTTCTTTCTTTCTTTCTTTCTTTCTTTCTTTCTTTCTTTCTTTCTTTCTTTCTTTCTTTCTTTCTTTCTCTCTTTCTTTTTCTTTCTCTCTTTCTCTCTTTCTCTCTTTCTTTCTCTCTTTCTTTCTTTCTTTCTCTCTTTCTTTCTCTCTTTCTTCCTTTCTCTCTCTCTCTCTCTCTCTCTCTCTCTCTCTCTCTCTCTCTCTCTCTCTCTCTCTCTCTCTCTCTCCCCCCCCCACTTCCCCCCCTCCCTCTCTCTCCCTCTCTCTTTTTTCTTCCTTCCCTCCTTCTTTCCCTACAACTTCTCGAGGTGCCTGACATATAATAACTGCTTAATAAATGTTTGTCAACTATTCTCAAAGGACAATCAAACTGCATACCCTTTAACCTAGTCATACCACTTCTAGGTCTGTATCCCAAAGAGATCATAAAAAAAGGGAAAAGGACCCACATGTACAAAAATATTTAGAGCTATTCTTTTTGTGGTGGCAAAGAATTAGAAATTGAAGGGATGGGGAATGGCTGAACAAGTTGTGGTCTCTGAACGTCATGGAATACTCTTGTGCTATAAGGAATGATGAGCAGGAGGATTTTGGACAGACCTGGACATTTGATTCCAGTCTTGTGTTCCCTCACCTCTGCCCTATTTGTTGGCTAGCTGTTTTATCTATTGGTTCTTTTCTGCCTTTACTTTCTTCCTGGAGCTCCCACCTGCTCCTTTCCCAGGTAACCTTCTTCACTCTCCTGCTCACACACTTCCAGCCCTGCTTTGGCTAATTCTGTTCTCAAATTTTAACCCCATGTCTTCCGCCATTCTCCATGTTTCTTTTCCTGTCCAGTATCACACCGTGGTCTCCTCCTCTGGCCCTTGGCTCTTCAGCTTCTCCTGGACGGCAGGATTTGATTGTGTTTTGTTTTTGTTTGTTTTTTGTATTTCTGTGAGAGGACAAAACAAAAGATATTTCTTAAGGATGTTTAACGTGCAAATAGAAATTTTCAGTCTCTCCTAGGTTTTCCACTGACAGCTTTTTTCCTATAAGTACTTTGTTACAATATGGGTTGTGGTCAATTTGTGATGGCTAGGTAATTAATGTGCCTCTGGCCTAGCTGCAGATGAGCTAGGTGATCCTACCCAAATGCAAATAGCATTTAGGGCTTTCAAAACCATTAGCATTGCTGGCTGGGACCTCAGATTTGCAGGATAAACAAACCTCTTGGCAGGAACTAGTTCTGCTTTTCTCTCTGTTTCTGACTCATCCTAGCTAAGTTTCCAAAATCTTAATGTTTTACTGTATTCTTTAATGTTTTTTACCTAGGTGCCAGAAACTTCACATTTGCATCACTCATCATCCTCTTTTAAAATGTTTTGTCACTTTTTTAGCAGTTGGTTTCAGGACTTAAAGGGAGGAAGCACACGTCCTACATGTACAAGTTCATACATGTACAACATTCACAAAGATGTGTCTGTCAATTTGTATTTGATCAGCCGAGACCGTATTAACCTTAAATTCACAATTACTCAATATAGAGGGGCATTTAAATGTTCCTTTTGGTAATTTGACAGTTTGCAAATAAACTAAATTTAGAATATTGGAAAAACTTGCTTTAATTTTTAAAATAAATATGTAAGACAGTCATTTGAATTGCTGGATAAGCACTATTGAATCTCTGGATAGAATGGCTCTTTAAAGTTTAAAGCTGTTATCCCATCCCTTTGGCTCAGTGCTAGGCCTCAGGAGCATCTCCCCAATCAATGTTCCTGCTTTCCTTCTTGGTTTTCTTAAAATGTGAAAACTGGACTGTTGTTGTAATGGGAAAAGTACTTTACATTTTATTTTCAAATCTACTTTTATTGAGGAAGAGAAAGATGGAAAAAGTCACATGAAGTTGATGATTATTCAATAGACAGTAGTGACTAATAAAGGAAATCATTTTTTCTTGCTAATATCTGAAAACAAAATGCATTTATATTAGATAACACTTGGGTTTATTGAATTAAGTCTGTAAATTGTTTGGACCAGACAGATATATAATTCCAAGTGGCTAAATGTGGGCCTCCAATCCTTCTACCCATCAGAAAGAAACACTATTAATTGAAAAAGGAAACCAGAAACAACACTTTTAGGAGGTATTTTACTGGTTCTTTGCAGGCTTGCACTATTTTGCAGTGAAGGATGCCATGGAGTCAGCAAAGGCCTGGTCTTGAATCCTGGCTATGCTGACTGGCACCTGTATGGCCCTGGGCAGTCCCCAAGCCCCAGAATTCTCCGCTTGGCCTCGAATCTTGCCAGTTTCATTGATGTAAGAATCTCTGCGGGGGGGGGATGCTCTCTACCGGTGAAGAGCTGCAGCGGTTCTGCAAGTTACTGATTTAACCAGTTGCCTGGAGGTTCTAAGGGGTTTGCTCAGTGTCGCACAGCAATAGGCTTCGTCCATAACTTGACCCCTGTCTCCAAGGCCAGTTTTCTGTCCAGCCCGTTGGGCTGCCTCTCAGCCTTAGTAACTCCACGTCACTTCTACTCCCCAGGACACCCCTCGAGTCTTCTTACCACCTGCTCTTGTCTTGCTCATGTCTACTTTTGTATCTCCACTCTGGACACCCTTGGCCCTGCCTCCCTGTCTACATGGAAACAGCTTTTGGTTCTATATAAGGGAAATCTTCCTAACAATCAGACATACCCAAAAATAGACGACTCTTTTGTTGATAATCTCATCGGTTCCCATGGATTCAGTTAACATCTCTAGGCTGGTGGTTCTCAGATCTACTTACCTCTCTGTTGACTTCTAGTCTTTCACCTCCAGCTGCCTCTTGGACATCTCAGACCAAATGTTCCATAGACACTGAAAACTTGTCATGTCTAAAACAGAACTCGGCATATTTCCCCAAAACTCTTCCCCCCTTCCAAACATCCCTGTTACTTCTGTGGAAATCACAGTCCTCATAGCCAGCCAAGCTCCCAGCCTACTTTCTCTCCCCACTCCCACATAGCTAGTCAGAGGTTAAATCCTGTCATTTCCCCCTTCTCTGCCCCCTGCACGGCCTTGGAGCAGGCACTCATTTGTC